GTGTAAGCAATTATTAATTATTATTATTATTTTTTCATTCAAGCAATAACCAGTAAGGCATCCGTTAACAATGGGCTTCAGTTAATAAACGGATCGAAATAAGGCAGTGGCACATTTTACCGAATTGGTCAAATTAAAAAAAAAAAATCTTTATAGGACTTTAAAATAATTTGAAAATGCTTAAGCCCCCGACTTTATTTTTAGAACTGTTATGAAAAGGAAAAAAAGAAAATGTGAAAATCTGAAGCACCAGGGTAGGACACACACAGAGATAAAGACCCACAGAGGTGGACACAGAAACGCACAGAGACGGACATACAGATAGATGGAAACAGGGGCAGGTATGCAGTCAAACAATAATTCAAAAGCAGTTAAGGTTTTTAACAAATTTCTTTACGTCTAGAAGAATGCAGTTGCTTTGTGGCTTTGTCTTTTGCAAAGTATTTTGGGATTAAAATATTGCTATAGCAGTTAATTACCTGATCAACAAACGTTTTAGTCTTCATTATTTAATTAACTGAATTTCTCCCATTCCTGCCTGGAAGTGTAACGGTATCTCCTCCCCTGTACGGTATAGCTCCTCGTCAGCCACGTCCGCCCGCTGCTGCAGCTGGGAGCCCTCCCCCTCCTCCCCAGCACCCCAGTCCGCCCACTGGAGACCCCGGTCCGTTCCCAGCGGCGCCCCCGGCTGAAACTCCCGCCGGCGGGGCGCCGCCTCCTCGCCGCGCCCCTCCGCCTGCTCCAGCAGCTGCTCTCTCGGCACCCCAACAAGAGGTCCACCCTTCAGTCGCCTCTCCCCCTCTCCCTGTCCAGTCACCGGTTTCCACAGCTGAGACCCCCCTGCCCCTCCCCTCGGAACCCCCCCTGCCCCCTGCTGCTGCTCCTCCCTCTGGCTCGGTGGCGCCCCCTGTCTGTCGGGATCAGTCAGCGGCGAAGTCCTCCAATCAAGAAACTGCCTCTCCGGCTGCTGCAGCACACGAGGTGGTCACTCCTGCGAAGAATGTCACTGACAGAGGAAAGGTGGTAGGTTTCACTCGTGTGTTGTTCTTTTCACCGTTTTCCTGCATAGTTTCAGCTGCACTGATTGTCTTGAATCTGATCTTTGTCGTCTTTCCTGATTCATTGAGACAGAGGTGTCCTCTGGGATGTGTAGTTTTCTTTATTGATCATACAGTGAGAATAAAGACATTCACCACGCAAGTTTAGACCAATTGCGGGTATTGCTGCAAGACAGTTATTTTAAAATCGCTGTGTTAGTGTCATGAATATTTACACAGTGCCATGAAGGAGTATTGCTGCAAGACAGTTATTTTAAAATCGCTGTGTTAATGTAATGAATATTTACACAGTGCCATGCAGGAGTATTCACCCCTTACCGAAAAATGTTCCCAGGGGAAAATTGATGGACAGTAATCGTTAAGCCTTACTGAAATCAAGACAGGATGGCTATGTCCTTGTGTGTCAGGTCTTTGCCTTGGAGAAATGTGACATTTTGACCCAGTTTTAGATTCTTGAGCATTCCAAGCAGGTTTTCCTTTAGGATTCATGTATACTTTGCATCATTTATTTTTTCCTCATTCCTGACAAGCTTTCCACAATGTGATGATCATAAGCGTTAGACACCAACGAAAGGTGGGGAACCTTTGTTCAGGAGACTGTAACCCAGTGTTTCCCAATCCTTGTCCTGGTGACCCACACAGCTGTTGGCTTGTGTTGTAGCCGAGCCCTTGGATACACAGTCAGACCCTTCATTGATTTAATAATAAGAACGATTTGGACTGTTTGTTCCCGGGTCTTAAAAATGTTGCAGCTTTAACTGTTAAAGTGAAATAAAATCCCCAAAATGTGACTAGAAATAAAATGCAAATATTAAATTGCAGCAACGTCTTTGGTCAAATAAGGCTTCAGTGAATGAATGAAGGTGGGATGGGATGAAATCCCACGGAGTGTGGGTCACCCGGTCCAGAACTGGGAACCACTGCCGTAACCCAAAATCTCCCGACACAATGGCGTAGAGCCATGTTATCTTCAGGAACGGACTTTCAGCCTTCAGTGAACTTCACTGGTTGCTGAGGAAAATTCAGTTCTCTCTCAGTATAGCCTTTGTTTTCTCTCCATATAACTAGTGCTGGGCGATAATTCGATAACGATAATTATCACAATATAATTTTCCTCTATATAATTTTAACAAAGGTTCGATAAATGTTTGATATATATGTTTATGCTTTGCGCATGATATACGCATGGGCACAAAATACTGCGCGAGTGCGCGTGCGTGTTGCAGCCCGGGCAGCTAACGTGGCGTTGTTTACCCACATGGTGGTGGCTGACAGGACTGTAGTTAGAGTGGAGAAATGAGCGACACTGAAGCAAATGTAGTGCTACTAACGACCAGCTCAAAGAGTTGTTTAATTTACCAATTAACTGTCTGGTTTCTTCAACTTTCACTCAGGAGAACAAATCTGCCTTTAAACTTGAAAGAAATAATGATTTGACATTTATCGTGATAATTATCAATATCGACTGATATGAAAATTTTTATCGTGATAATGTTTTTGGCCATATCGCCCAGCCCTACATATAACCCTTCTGGCGTTATTGCTATCTGTATTTCTCCTCATGAGGAAGTGTCTCGGTAGCTGGGGTGAGACTGGTGTTACTTTCCCCAGGCTGTCTTACAGGAGCTGTCCCTTAACTCGGCTCTGGTTTGTTTCTGGACTGGTCCTTGTCTACCGCCTCTCTTAAAACCAGCAAACGTGTGCGATGCAGGGTTCCTTGGTGACCTCCAGCCTTTTAACCAGCAGATGTACACCCCACAAGAATCCCTAGAAGTCAGGTCTTTTATAACGAGCCCAGGGGGGTCTTCCACCCCCAACACACAAACCTCTTCTTGGATTCTACCAAATGCAACTGCCCCCTTTCAGGGGAGATAAACATCTGCCCTGGTCTCCTCTCTA